GTCTCTATCTCCTTCAGTTCTGCTCTAATCTTAGTTATTTCTTGCCTCCTGCTAGCTTTTGAATGTGTTTGCTCTTGCCTCTCTAGTTCTTTTAATTGCGATGTTAGAGTGTCAATTTTAGATCTTTCCAGCTTTCTCTTGTGGGCATTTAGTGCTATAAATTTCCCTCTACACACTGCTTTAAATGTGTCCCAGAGATTCTGGTATGTTGTATCTTTTTCCTCATTGGTTTCAAATAACATCTATATTTCTGCCTTCATTTCGTTATGTACCCAGTAGTCTTCAGGAGCAGGTTATTCAGTTTCCATGTAGTTGAGTGGTTTTGATTGAGTTTCTTAGTCCTGAGTTGTGGTTTGATTGCACTGTGGTCTGAGAGACAGTTTGTTATAATTTCTGTTCTTGTACATTTGCTGAGGAGTGCTTTACTTCCAATTATGTGGTCTATTTTGGAATAAGTGTGATATGGTGCTGAGAAGAATGTATATTCTGTTGATTTGGGGTGGAGAGTTCGGTAGATGTGTATTAGGTCTGTTTCCTGCAGAGATGAGTTCAATTCCTGGATATCCTTGTTAACTTTCTGTCTCATTGATCTGTCTAATGTTGACAGTGGGGTGTTGAAGTCTCCCATTATTATTGTATGGGAGTCTAAGTCTCTTGGTAAGTCTCTAAGGACTTGCTTTATGAATCTGGGTGCTCCTGTATTGGGTGATATATATTTAGGAGAGTTAGCTCTTCCTGTTGAATTGATCCCTTTACCATTATGTAATGGCCTTCTTTGTCTCTTTTGATCTTTGATGGTTTAAAGTCTGTTTTATCAGAGACTAGTATTGCAACCCCTGCTCTTTTTTTGTTCTCCATTTGCTTGGTAGATGTTCCTCCATCCCTTTATTTTGAGCCTATGTATGTCTCTGCATGTGAGATGGGTCTCCTGAATACAGCAAACTGATGGGTCTTGCCTCTTTATCCAGTTTGCCAGTCTGTGTCTTTTAATTGGAATATTTAGTCCATTTACATTTAAGGTTAATATTGTTATGTGTGAACTTGATCCTGCCATTATGATATTAACTGGTTATTTTGCTCGTTAGTTGATGCAGTTTCTTCCTAGCCTCGATGGTCTTTACATTTTGGCATGTTTTTGCAATGGCTGGTACCGGTTGTTCCTTTCCATGTTTAGTGCTTCCTTCAGGGTCTCTTGTAAGGCAGGCCTGGTGGTGACAAAATCTCTAAGCATTTGCTTATCTGTAAAGGATTTTGTTTCTCCTTCACTTATGAAACTTAGTTTGGCTGGATATGCAATTGTGGGTTTAAAATTCTTTTCTTAAGAATGTTGAATATTGGCCCCCACTCTCTTCTGGCTTGGAGAGTTTCTGCCGAGAGATCTGCTGTAAGTCTGATGGGCTTCCCTTTGTGGGTAACCGGACCTTTCTCTCTGGATGCCCTTAAGATTTTTTCCTTCATTTCAACTTTGGTGAATCTGGCAATTATGTGTCTTGGAGTTGCTCTTCTCGAGGAGTATCTTTGTGGCGTTCTCTGTATTTCCTGAATTTGAATGTTCGCCTGCCCTACTAGGTTGGGGAAGTTCTCCTGGATGATATTCTGAAGAGTGTTTTCCAACTTGGTTCCATTTTCCCCCTCACTTTCAGGCACCCCAATCAGACGTAGATTTGGTCTTTTTACATAATCCCATACTTCTTGCAGGCTTTGTTCATTTCTTTTTCTTCTTTTTTCTTTAGATTTCTCTTCTCGCTTCATTTCATTCATTTGATCCTCAATTGCTGATACTCTTTCTTCCAGTTGATCGAGTCGGTTACTGAAGCTTGTGCATTTGTCACGTATTTCTCGTGTCATGGTTTTCATCTCTGTCAGTTCGTTTATGGTCTTCTCTGCATTAATTATTCTAGTTATCAATTCTTCCACTCTTTTTTCAAGATTTTTAGTTTCTTTGCGCTGGGTACGTAATTCCTCCTTTAGCTCTGAGAAGTTTGATGGACTGGAGCCTTCTTCTCTCATCTCATCAAAGTCATTCTCCATCCAGCTTTGATCCATTGCTGGCAATGAGCTGCGTTCCTTTGCAGGGGGAGATGTGCTCTTATTTTTTGAATTTCCAGCTTTTCTGCCCTGCTTTTTCCCCATCTTTGTGGTTTCATCTGCCTCTGGTCTTTGATGATGGTGACGTACTGATGGGGTTTTGGTGTGGGTGTCCTTCCTGTTTCTTAGTTTTCCTTCTAACAGTCAGGACTCTCAGCTGTAGGTCTGTTGGAGATTGCTTGAGGTCCACTCCAGACCCTGTTTGCCTGGGTATCAGCAGCAGAGGCTGCAGAAGATAGAATATTGCTGAACAGCGAGTGTACCTGTCTGATTCTTGCTTTGGAAACTTCCTCTCTGGGGTGTACTCCACCCTGTGAGGTGTGGGGTGTTGGTCTGCCCCTAGTGGGCATGTCTCCCAGTTAGACTACTCAGGGGTCAGGGACCCACTTGAGCAGGCAGTCTGTCCATTCTCAGATCTCAACCTCCACGTTGGGAGATCCACTGCTCTCTTCAAAGCTGTCAGACAGAGTCGTTTGGGTCTGCAGAGGTTTCTGCTGCTTTTGTTGTTGTTGTTTAGCTGTGTCCTGTCCCCAGAGGTGGAGTCTACAGAGACAGGCAGGCTTCTTTGAGCTGCTGTGAGTTCCACTCAGTTTGAGCTTCCCAGCGGCTTTGTTTGCCTACTTAAGCCTCAGCAATGGCGGACGCCCCTCCCCCAGCCTGGCTGCTGCCTTGCAGTTAGATTGCAGACTGCTGTGCTAGCAATGAGGGAGGCTCCGTGGGCGTGGAACCTCTCGACCAGGAGTGGGATATTGTCTCCTGGTGTGCCCGTTTTCCTAGACCCTTGGTAAAGCGCAGTATTGGGGTGGGAGTTACCCGATTTTCCAGGTGTTGTGTGTCTCAGTTCCCCTGGCTAGGAAAAGGGATTCCCTTCCCCCTTGCGCTTCCCAGGTGAGGCGATGCCTTGCCCTGCTTCAGCTCTCGCTGGTTGGGCTGCAGCAGCTGACTAGCACCGATTGTCTGGCAGTCCCTAGTAAGATGAACCCAGTACCTCAGTTGAAAATGCAGAAATCACCTGTCTTCTGTGTCACTGGCACTGGGAGCTAGAGACTGGAGTTCTTCCAATTCAGCCATCTTGCTCTGCCCCCCACTTTTTACTTTTAAATATATCTCTTACATTGGAGATATTTTATATTATTTCCAGGAAGCCTTATTAACTTTAGTCTTCATAATTATTAAACCTTGCACATATATTTGTTTGTTTCTAAAACTCAGGAATCCTGTTGACTTGAAGTTTTTAGTTTCTTTCTTCACCTGTGAATACTGAATCCTGCTTGACAATCATAGATATATATATATAAACTATTAAATCTTCAACTCGAATAATTATTGCTTAATTTTCTTTATGTGAGATCTTTTCTCCAATTTTAAACTGTCATCCTATATGGTGTAAATAGGCAATTCGAGTTAGTATTATATTGTTTACAGGAACATAAGAAAAGCATGTGAATTTTAAAGCGGGGTTTCACATTTCTATCTCACTTTATAGTAGTACTTAAAAATGCCTCATAATTCTATAGGTAAGCATTTCTCTTGCACAATTAAAAATTTCAAGGTTTTTCTAAAAGTGGTTTTACAGAATCTTGTTGTTGTAGATTTAAATGTTTTCATTCAATTCAAAGATGCCTATTGCAATAATATTTCAGAAATATTTACCTATATCAATAAAATTATATTCTTGGAACAAATTTGGAAATATGTAACTTAGAAACTTAATCCCACGTTTTTCTCTCTCCTTTAATTTCATTTCCAAAATTTCAACAGTCTGCATAGATTTGTGTTGCTTAATTCTACCCATTTAGTCTATCTTATAAATATTTATTTTCTTATCACTATGTAATTTTCCTCATGTAGGTCATCTACTCATACTCCAAATGTATTTATCCAGATCTTTCTTCCAAGCCCCTTAGATGCCTCAAATCTTAGAGGTCTCAAACTGAAAGCATCTTTTTTTTTTATTCTTTTCCCGCCTCTTTTCTGACTCTTTGTAATCTACTCAGTCATCTGGTTTCCCCATCCTAGTAAATAACATCTAGGAAGTAGCCATAAACTGCTCAAACACTTCAACCTGCATTTCAACCGTCCCCCACATCCTGCACTTCAACCCTCCTCCAGGTCACCAAGCCAGTCACACACCAAAATTTGTATTATCTACCTTCTTATAATTTTCCATATCTTATTACCATAATTAACCATCTACCTATAATGTTGAAGTACTCCTTTCTAGTTTTGCCCCATCTCCCCATGTTCATCTATCTTTACATCTCTGGAAGGGTCACCTTTCTAAAATATATTTGTAATGATGTAACTCATCTGCATATTGAGCGGATACCCATTACCTGAAGGGTTAAGTTCACATTCTAGCGTGACACATATCTTACATGGTTTGGTCCCATTTTTTGTCTCTTCAACTCATTTGCTCTGACTGTGTTCCAGTTTTACCACATCACTTTGGCATCCCTCAGTTGCCACGTTGTTTCATGCCTTATTATTTTGCACATGCTGTTGTACCTAGAGTCTTTGTATCCTGACTCTGCACTTTGCCTGTCCTTCCAAATACGGCCCCATTATGGCGGCATTTTCTCTGCTTTTCAGGTAAAACTCATTGTTCTCTCCTTTGTACTTTTATGCATTTTATTGACTTAAATTGTAGAACTGGTGAATTATACTTTTCTGTTCTTTTTTTGTTTTCACATATCTCTACCATTTCTTGAATATAGGCCAGAACCTGTCTTCCATGTATATTTTCTGCTTCTCCCAGGATTGTGCCTATGATTTGATAGATATAGTGTATGTTTTTTCTTGTTGTTCTCTTTTGTCTTACTGATAAATTGTGTGAGTGAATAAACACATTTTTTTCCTGAAGTTTTTTGTTGTTGTTGTTGCTTTTGTTTATTGTTTGTAATAGGAGGAAGCAACAAGACAGTAACTGGACAACAAGAAAATGATATTGGCATTATTGAACAAGCTCCAGAAGATCAAACAAGTAATGACAATTTTATTTTTATACCAAAATAATAGAAGTGGTACATTAGTGAATATCTCTGAAAATCTTTCTATGCTTAAGTGCTATTATTTACAAAAGAATTTTATAGACCAAAATACAATGGCTATTTAAAAAAATATTTTCTGATATCTTTCTTCATGCTATCAATTCTTTTTACTGAACCTGCTTCAATTCTGAAATTCTATTTTTGCTGTTAGTTTTATTTTTGAAATACTCATAAATGGCAATAGATTTGTATATGGTATTACAATTTACAGTAATAAATGTTCTCATATATGTGTCTGTGAATAACATTTTGTAGATAAGATACCCACATCAGAATCAAGACAAAAAGAATATACAGAATCTTCAGATTCTGAGGTATGTGTATTGTTGTTGTTGTTGCTTTTTTAAAACTTAAGTAATGAGTAATCTTAAAACATAAAAAGATGATTTGACTTTATACTCTTACCTCTGCATGTGTCCGTAAGGTGGGTGATCATGAGGTCAGGAGATTGAGACCATCCTGGCTAACATGGTGAAACTGTCTCTACTAAAAACATAAAAAAATTAGCCGGGTTTGGTGGTGCGTGCCTGTAGTCTCAGCTACTCGAGAGGCTGAGTCAGGAGAATGGTGTGAACTCAGGAGGTGGAGCTTGAAGTGAGCCAAGATTGCACCACTGCACTCCAGCCTGGGTGACAGAGTGAGAATCCATCTCAAAGAAAAGCAAAAAAAAAAAAAAAAAAAAAAAAAGAGAGAGAGAAAGCATTTATTTTCTGACATTTATCAGAACATACTTTATAATCATGTGCCAAGTAGATAATAGCTGCATAGTGCAATTCTGCTAATTTGCAGGATTAATTTTGAAGCCAATGTAGAATAGTGCAAAAGAAAATAAGACTTAGAAGGCACTAGGAATCTATTTGAGTTCTGAAGTTGAGTTTGTCTAAAAACTAAATAATTTCTCTGTGTTCATTTATGGGCAAATACATAATTCTGTGTATATCTAGATGTACAAAGGCTCTAATTGGATTCAGAGAGAAAGAGTTTAAAGTGTAGTCTTAGTCTTGCTCAACTTGGAACTTAAAACGATAATGCCTGGGACTTGAAAGACTCCATCTCAAAAACAAAACAAAACAAAACAAAACAAAAACCAAAAACAACAACAAAAAAACACTTATAAGTCATTATAAATTTTTCTTAAAAACAAAACAGAGAATGTTTGGTTAGAGAAAATTGAAGAACTTTATAATTAGCACGGGTATGGGAGTGGCAGTGGAATTCTATGGTCAGAGTAGATCTGTCTGAGACTGCCATTTAATCTCCATCTCAGAGATGAAGAGTATGCCATATGAAAGTTTAGGAGAAAAACATTCAGAACAGAGAGAACAGTGGAACATTTTTGTTCATCATTTTGTTCTTAACAACCTAGAACGACTAGGAAGTAGAAAGTGGGGTAACCACCACCATCGTCATCATCCTCATTATTCTAAGGTGAAGAAAAATCTGCAAATACGTGTCTGGCACATGTTAGAGGTTTCATGAATACATGCTTTTATTTTTCTCTTTTTATGAAGGCTTGCTCTACTTTTTTGAAGTTATGTCTTAAGAATGAATTGCACACTTTAATGATTGTTTGCTTTCATTTAAAAATAACAAAAATATGTTTTCCTTATGAATCTTTTATTCACGCAGTTCTTTATCAGCAAAAAACTTGTAAAATTTATTCTTATTATCTTAAGTCTTTGTTTTCCTAAGTGAAACAGCTTTTACAGAATTCTATTCCTACTCTGCATGACATACTCTGAAAATTCTCTTCATGCCGTGCATAATTTTTAACAAAAAAATCTGTAATTATGCATATGTCAAATGTGTAATTGTGTTGTATTTTGTTTGAAATGCCCTGTTATTTTTTGCAAGGACTACAGTGTAAGGCAGATACTTTGAATTTAATTCCTTTTGAAATATGCACACGATTGAATTTTTTTGGGAATATGATTTATTTTCTTTGCTCAGTAACCCAGTCAGTAGTCACATGAAGATAAAAGATAAGCATGATATACAGAGCGCATTTGAGGTTTTCTCTTGAATGTTTTGGTTTTCAATATGTGAACAGCCTTAAATCTAATTACCTTTAGAGTAAAAAATTTTGTTTTAAAAAAGATTTTAAATGAAAAATATGATGCTTGTTATTATTATTTTTAAATTGAAATTATTTATTGAGGCAGGCTATGGTGTCTCACACCTGTAATCCCAGTATTTTGGTAGGGCAAGGTGGGTGGATCACTTAAAGTCAGGTGTTTGAGACCAGCCTAGCCAACATGGTGAAATCCTGTCTCTATTAAAAATACAAAAATTTAGCCAGGTGTGGTGGCTAATGCCTGTCATCCCAGCTATTCGTGACGGTGAGGCAGAAGAATCACTTGGTCTTGGGAGCCGGAAGTTGCAGTGAGCCTAGATCATACCACTGGGCAACCCTGTGAGGCTTTGTCTCAGAAAAAACAAAACAAAAAAAATAGTAAAAAAAAGAAATTATTTATTAATATTATCTTTAACAGATTATCTCTGTGAGTGACACACAGAATTATGTGTGTTTAACTGAGGCTACATATCAAAAAGAAATAAAGACAATAAATGGCAAAATAGAAGGTAAGAACCATTTTTTATTTAAAACATCATTTGACCAATTATTTGTCTAAAAGCATGAGGACTGATATACTCTGACAGCCAAAGAAAATTATTTTTTAAATGCGTAGCATGGAAGGACAAAAGGAGTGAAAGTTACATGTCTTCTCAGGTGTTAGCAACAGATTATATTGAGAGTGCCAAAAAAAGAGCTGAATTATTAGTTTAAATTCAATATACCTGAAGAAAGGAGTAAAAGAGGGAATGAAGACCAAGGAAGACAGGGAGTACATGAGGGAACAAGAAGCAGGTTTATATAATGGAGAATGGTAAAATAAAATAATTCTTTAGAGAAAGATAGAGCATGATTAGAAAGCTGGGAAGAATAAAAAGTGACCTTCCATTACCAAAAGTTGCCAGGGAATTACAGCAAACATGTTGTCACTCCTGTCTTTCTCACTGGTGGGAAGGCATTAGGGATGGAAGCAACTGACCATAGAAAGTTGTGTTTTATCTGCAATAGGTGAATATAAGCATATTGGCACAGCCATGTGTGTATATAATTTGTCATATACACTCAGTATAGACCAGAAGTTTTCACACTTTATAAAATCAGCTGAATACCTTTTTAACAGTGCACATTGTGATTCAGCAGACTTGGGATTCTGGCATTTTAAATAAGTTCTCAGGTGATGCCGTTGCTGGTGGTCCTTGGACCTCACTCTTAAGTAGCAAGAGAATAGCCTTTCCTTTGGAAAAATCTGGAAGAAGGGCAATTGGATAGAAGATCAAGACATAACAGGGTCAAGGAAAAGCATTATATTGCTTTTATTTCTGCATCTGTTTCTGGTCAGAGGGGAAAAAGAGGTAAAGAAATAATAATTACAGGTGTCAGATACTATTCCTAATCAAAGAGAAAGAAAGTGTTGGGAAAATTGATTTTAAAAGATGTTGAATGGGAAAAATGAAGACCACAGATGTGGACATTATTTTGGCTAAGGAAGAGGGATTGTGAGGCAGGAAATGGGGCAAGAAAGAAGATAGCCAGGCAACTTTGGAGTTTCTGAATAGGAAATTTGAGTGAATTCACTTCAGATGCATTTACAATATTTGCACTCCAGATTAGATTTTGGGTACTCCAGAGACTACCGGAAGCGGAGGATTACTAGAATTGGAGTAAACTATGGTGACTTTTTAGTTTTCTCTATTACTATCAGCATAAAAGGTATATATTTTGTTGATATTAGCTATTCAAATGAGAAATATTTGAATCTAAGAGCATTGGCTTTATTTTTAATGAAGCAAATTGTTTTGGTAAAATTGTTGTTCTATAAAAATCCATTAGACACTTAATAAAGCAGACTAATTTTTAGAAACAAAAAAATACTGAATTTACTACCTGAATTCTAAAATTTTTTTAAATAAGTATTTTCCTGATTTAAAAATATAAAATATTATTTGTATGTAATAAGTATGTTGCCATAAATTTTCAAATAAACGTGCCAATATTGAAAGCTCATTACACAAACTTTTAAATGAATTTTGTATATATTTTTTACATGAGTGAATCAAGAAAATTTCTGAGGATAAACTAGAGGATACAGAAATGTAGGCATATGATTACACCACATGGATATGGAAAACAATGAATATTTTATTTAGTATTATCCCCTAAGTAAATATCCAAGCTGATCAATTTGTAACACATTCAGTGATGAGATGTCAGTTCTGCATTCAGCTGAACTCTCATCATAACGGTGTACCGTCTCAATTGTAGGACAAATTAAAGAACATGATGAATGTAATGATATAAATTATTCTAATGTATTTCGTTAAACATATGGTGTAGGATTCTATGTTCAGCTTTGACATTTATTTTTTCAGGGTCATGATTTGCTCCTCTGATCAAAGATCATTTATGCTTTCATCACTCAGCATATACATATTAATATCAACACATTTTGCATGCAAAACACATTCTCACTTTTGAAATCTTAAGTGCATGTTTGATGAACCGTAGATTCCTAGTTTCTTCAGTGTATTTCTGTCATGTGAGTGTCCTAAAGAAACAAACAAAAGAAAATCTCCTAAACCTAAAGGAATCATTCTCAAAGCTGAGCAAGAGGACTCAGTTAGATACTATCACTGGGTTCATTTGTGGTTGGTTTTGTTATATTTACCTATGACTGATAACAAATCTCTTTTGCTTTAGAGTCTACTGAAAAGCCTTCTGACTTTGAGGTATTGAGTTTTATAATTTTATCTTGAATTATTTATTAACTATGTATTTTGTGAAGTATACATTCGTTATTAATCATTTTTCTTCTAAACCCATTTAGCCTGCTGTTGAAATGCAAAACTCTGTTCCAAATAAAGCTTTAGAAAGGAGGAATAAACAAACATTCAGAGCAGGTAATTTTACAGTTCAACTATATTAAAATGAATATTTCAATAGTTGACATATTAATAGTCTCATCTCCCCAATGTTTATTTTTCAAATGTTATGGAAATATTTGAGTTAATAATGTCCATAGTGGTATCCACGTTTGAAAAACTGATTATTTACAAGAACATGAATTTTAATTAGTTTTTTAAAAATTAGCTTTAATTTCAGGTGTTTCTATTTTTATGTTCTGATACTGTAATGTTTTGTATTGGGAATGTCTGTATGACTTAAAGATTCAAGAAGATGAATTTTTAAACTCTAATATTTTTCCTGTTCAAAACTTGATTCAAATTCTACCCTTTACTGCAGAGAAAGCTTCACTTTTTGACATGCCAATTGTGTTTTAACATTGGTTACCTCATGTGGATGTAGTCATCTGAAGCATCCTAAGGAAATCAGTTATTCTGATTTAGCTTACTCTGTGCGTGTGTATGTGTGTGTGTGTGTGGTGTGCATGTTTGTGCCTGTGTGCATGTGTATGTGTGTTTGTGTGTGGTACCCCTAGTTTTTAAAAATGGGAGAAGTAATCATTTCTTTATAATTATATTTGTAAAACTGTGATTCTGAAGCATTTGGCTTTAGTGTCTTTTCATTGTTTAGAGGTAAACAATTGTCTAAACTAGTTTTTAAAAAATTATTCCTATACATGCTTAAACATTATACAACATATGTACACAGTCATAGATAATACGTAGAATTTTTTAACTTCTAATATGTAAATAATTGTACATTGTGTGTAATTTTCTGTAACATTCTTTATTTGATCAGCATTATATTGTAAGATCCATCCATAATAGACAGAACTAGCTCTGGTTTTGTTTTTATTGCATTCTTTATATAAATTCCGTTATATAACTGCACCACAACTAAAGTTTGTTTACGCAAAAAATAAAAGCAAATGCAAATTTCAGTCTTATTTAAGTTGGTTTTATCTACTGATTTTTGATATATTAGAAATTAAAACTAAAGAATTTCAAGTATAACCATGCACAATCATCTATTTTAATAAAAATGAAAAGTGTGACCTATGAACCATTACAGCTATGCTGTTGTAACACATTATTTCCCTGAAACAGTGCAGTATACACTTCTAAAAATGAGATTGAAAATAGTCGATAACAAAAGTATGATTTGAGTTTTGGATTCTCTACGTGAAATTTGAACTTTAGGGATGCTCATCTCACAACTTAAAAGCACATTTGAAAACCAAATATATAGTTCATGCATGTCAAATTATAAATGTACCCTTAATATTAAAATGATATTTAAAGCTTCAGTTGTGCGTGTTTGCTTTTCTCTTTGAACTATGTTAAATAGTTAATATTTGAAAAACTTGTTTACAAAGAAAACGGAACATTATTTCTGTTTTATGTTTGTTTTCTGTCTTATGGCTCCGTGATTTTCATATTCTATTATATGACTGTACCACAATTAATTAAACGGTTTTATGCTGATAAAATACATAAAAATAAAAACAAATTCAGATTTTGATAAGCCTTTTAAGTTGGCTTTATATTTTATTTTTAATATATTAAAAATTAAAAGTATAGTATTTAAGATATAAGCATGCATAATCATATATATTCCGATGGCAATTAGAACTATGAGTTAAAAATTATTAGAGCTATGGTGTTACAACACAGTTTGTCTCTGAAACATTCCAGTATACACTTCTAAATAAACGCAAATGATCATGGTCAACAGCAAAAGTATGATTTGACCTCTTGGATTCCCTGGAGGAAACTTGAACTCCAGGGATATTCTGATCAGAATTTAAGACCAGTTTTAAAAATCAGACTTTTAGTTCATGAATGTCAAATAATCAGTTGACCCGTAATGATGAAATCATCCTTAAAGTTTTTGTTAGGCATGTTTGCTTTTTTCTTCAACCTGTCTTAAATAGTTCAAATTTGAAAATTTTGTTTATAAAGAAAACTGGATATATATGTGTGTGTGTGTGTGTGTATTCTGTCTCATGACTCTCAGTACTCCTTGGATCTTGTGTAGATCGTGATTTAATTCTATTAAATGTGGAAACAGTAGTTTACTAATGTGTAGACATTGATTTAATTCTTTTTTAGGGAAAAATTAGGTTACTTAAAGCAATTATTTTTATATAGATTTCTAATATTCTCTAAGGCATCACAAGTTGATTCTGAAGATATTGAATTAAGGAAAGACTGTCTCAAAATAACTAAAGGAGTTTTAAAATTTAATGTATATGCAATAAAAGCTTTTTAAGCTTATTTATTACACATACACAAAATATACTGTCATACATGTTGAAACTTAAAATTGTTAGACATAAAGTTTGTTAACATAAAAAAATTTATATTTCTCAAGAGTCTTATTTATTGATAATTTCATTTGAATAACAGATTGCTGAGTCAATCAAACTAAGTAATGCTAAAAAATAGAAAAAAAGATAACATATAATTAAAGTTATCTCATTAAATTTCAAGCATAGGACATACTGTGTTTCTGGGAAGAAGAACACATTACTGCCTTTTTGAAGAAATAATTTATACAAGTTAGCCAAATTTCTATTTTTTTCTATTCTAATGAATAGAATATTTTAGTTTGCAATTCTGTTAGGTTGACCATAAAAGTTGTGGGAATAATCTGAAAAAAGTATGTACAGGTTGAATAAGAAACACCACAGATTCATGAAAAAAATAGATTTGTATACTCTTTTAAAATATATCATAGTAAATATTCTCATTAATATATCTGTGATTAATATTTTATAGATAATATGTTGACATTAAAATCAGGAAAAGAAACATATGCAGAATCACGTTGGAGTTCTAAGGTATTGTGTAATTTTGTTTCTATTATTATTTAAATATAAATATTGAGTGATGTTGAAACTTGAAAGTAGAGACTTTGACTTTATTGTTTTACCTCTGCATATTGCCCTTCAGTAATTTCTGATATTTTTCAGAAAATACTAAGCAGTTATTATTTGCTAAGTAGATTACTGCTTCATAGTGCAATTTCACGTATTTTCAGGATTAAGTTTAAGAAGGTAGTGTAGTATAGTGTGAAAATACATCTTAGAATTCTAGGAATTTATTTGGGTTCTGAATCTACAGTTGTCTAAAAACTGAAGAATTTCAGTTCAGGGGTCCACCTGTGAGCAAATTTATGATTCTCTGGTATATCTGGATTCAGAGGAAAAAGGTAAAATAGTTTTGTGTATCTTGGAACTTGAAAGGATAATGCCTGGTGCTTGAAAGTATTGCTATATTTGGATTGCACAGTGCAGATCTTAAGGAATATTTTGGGCAAAGGAAAAGCAAGAAAAATAGGAAACCTGAGAAACTACAGTAAAAACAATTTGGTTGAGTAGTGTTTTAAAGAGTGAACATTATTTTCTTTTTTTTTTTTTTTTTTTTTGAGACGGAGTCTCACGCTGTTGCCCAGGCTGGAATGCAGTGGCGCGATCTCGGCTCACTGCAAGCCCTGCCTCCCAGGTTCCCGCCATTCTCCTGCCTCAGCCTCCTGAGTAGCTGGGACTACAGGCGCCCGCCACCGCGCCCGGCTAATTTTTTGTATTTTTAGTAGAGACGGGGTTTCACTGTGGTCTCGATCTCCTGACCTTGTGATCCGCCCGCCTCGGCCTCCCAAAGTGCTGGGATTACAGGCTTGAGCCACCGCGCCCGGCCAGAACATTATTTTCACAAATAGAACTATTTGAGTTATTTTGTGGCAGCCATGCTTTCAACCACATAAATATCTGTATTCTGAGATCACAGCTGTGCAAAGAGGTGGAAAGGGCCCCACTAGTTGTTAGAAGTAGCTGCTTTATAGCAGTAACAATCATGAGTAGAAGTCAAAAAACCAGTCACTATTCTGGTTCTGTTACTTACTAGTTATGTAACCTTGGAGAAAATTATTTAATGTATTCAAATGTCAGTGGCCTTGTTCATTGAATTAGTGCTAATATCTACCTCTTAGATATGTTTAATTGAGCAATGTTGTAATAAAAGTGAAAATATTTTGCAAACTGAAAAATGTGTATACAAATGTAAGATAATGATGACAGTGGTATTCAGTGGCTTAATAAATATCAAGGGTACTTTTTCTAAACATGAAGGCAGTATTGTCAGAAAAATAATGGGGGAATACAACAGACATGTGGATTTCTAGTTTAGTGTATGGGTATGTTAAGTATCAGCAGGCTACTAATACTATTTTCTAAACTTGCTAAGAATTTAGCAAATTAGACCTCTCTGATGAGATTTTAAATGCTTTGACTATTAATAATGTGCCTCCTGAATAGCATAGGTGTGCTAAGCAGTGAGACCTGAATACACAGGATGAGGACTTATGTCAAAGTGGTAGGAATAGAAAAGCAAGTTAACAACACTTATAAGTAAATATAAGTGATCTCTATATAAAGACAGATAGTGTTAGGTTAGATAAAATTGAAGAAGTTTACACTTAGAATGGGAATGGGGGTGGCAGTCAAATTCTGTAGTCAGAGATTTCTTTGAGACTGTCAGTCAAGCTCCCATAACAAGCATGAGAGGTAGGATGACATGTATATACCCAAAGGATTATAAATCATGCTGCTATAAAGACACATGAACACGTATGTTTATTGCGGCACTATTCACAATAGCAAAGACTTGGAATCAACCCAAATGTCCATCAGTGACAGACTGGATTAAGAAAATGTGGCACATATACACCATGGAATACTATGCAGCCATATAAAAGGATGAGTTCATGTCCTTTGTAGGGACATGGATGCAGCTGGAAACCATCATTCTCAGCAAACAATTGCAAGAACAGAAAACCAAACACCTCATGTTCTCACTCATAGGTGGGAATTGAACAATCAGATTACTTGGACTCTGGAAGGGGAACATCACACACTGGGGCCTATTATGGGTAGGGGGTAGAGAATGGGGGGAGGGATGGCATTGGGAGTTGTACCTGATGTAAATGACGAGTTGATGGGTGCTGACGAGTTGATGGGTACAGCACACCAACATGGCACAAGTATACATATGTAACAAACCTGCACATTGTGCACATGTACCCTAGAACTTAAAGTATAATTAAAAAAAGAAAAAAAAAAAAGGAGAAATCTCCAAACAAACAAACAAACAAACAAACAAAAAGAATGTCTAGGTGAAAGACATTTGGAGCAGAAAAAAAGCAGATCACATTTCTTTACAATTTTTCTCTTAACATTCTGGAAAGACTAGGAAGCGGAAAGTGGGGTAAACATTATCATCATCATCTTCATTATTGTAAGGTGTAAAAAAGTTTGCAAATGTGTTCCTGGCACATAATAAATGCTTTATGAATAAATGTTCTTATGTTTTTATGAAGGACTTGCTATAGTTTTCTGAAATTATGTTTTAATTGAGATTGAGTTGCATATTTTATATGATATTGGTTTCTTTTCATTTAAACTTAATAGAATGTTTTTCTTCTTTTAAATTTATTCATGCATTTCTTCTGTTATCAAAAATTTTCTCAAAAATTTTTGATTATTTCAAATTCTTGTCTACCTAAATAAAGAAGCTTTTACAATATTCTATCTCATACTCTGAAGGTTTTCTTTCCTTAAAGTGTCTTATTTTAACCCTAAAAATTTATAATTATGAATATTTTAAATGTTTAATGTTGTCAATGTTATATAGCAAGAAGCAGGTGATTGTCTTTTGTTTTAAATGCCCTCTCTTTTTTCTTGAGGACTACAAAGTAGAGTTAGATATTTTGAATGTAATTTCTTGTTGAAATATGCACACGAGTAAATACTTTTTCTGTGGATATGTTTTTATTTTGGGGTTTTCATGCTTAGTAACTGTTTCAATAGCTAAATGAAAATGAAAATAAGCTTGATTTGGAGAGCATATGTGAAGTCCTTTATATAAATGTTTTGGTTTTCAATAGGTTTCTATTCTTAAACCAAATTGCCTTTAAAGTAGGAAACTGAGTATGTTTTGAAATATGTTAGGAAATCTTGATGTCACTCATTATTATTATTATTATTATAAAATTGCAATTCATTATTGATAGAACTTCAAACAGAGTGTTTCGGAAAGTACTGCACAGAATTACACGTGTTTACCTGAGGCTACATATCAAGAAGAAGTCAAGAATATAAATGGAAAACTAAAGGGTAAGAATCACTTTTTATTTAGAAGTCATTTGACAGTATGTTTATCTAAAAATTTGAGGACTGTTATACTGTAATAGCCTCAGAACATTACGCACTAAATGCGTAGTATTAAAAAAGCGAATTAAAATGGTAATAAGTTACATATCTTGTCAGGTGTCAGCAACAGAGTATATAGTGAGTGCCGAAAAAGGAACTGAATTATTACTTTACATTCCAGATATTCTAAAACCTGAGGTATCTCAGGAAATAAGAGGAAAGATGTAAAAGAGGGAATAAAGAATGAGGAAGACAGAAAGTACAGGGAGGAAATGAGGGAAAAAGAAGCAGGTGTATACAATGGAGGTTCATAAGATAAAATAACTCTTTAGATAGAGGAAGAGTATGGTTAGAAAGGTGGGAAGAATATATAGTAAGCTTTCAGTACAAAAACTAGTAAAAGAATTACAGCAAAAATGTTCCACCCAAGCTAAAAACCATGGCACAAGAAGTACGTGATACATGCACAAGCTTCAGTAGCTGATTCGATCAAGTGGAAGAAAGGGTATCCGTGATTGAAGATCAAATGAATGAAATGAAGTGAGAAGAGAACTTTAAAGAAAAAAGAGTAAAAAGAAACAAACAAAGCCTCAAGAAATATGGGACTATGTGAAAAGACCAAATCAACGTTTGATTGGTGTACCTGAAATTGACAGGGAGAATGGAACCAAGTTGGAAAACACTCTGCAGGATATTATCGAGGAGAACTTCCCCAACCTAGAAAGACAGGCCAACATTCAAATTCAGGAAATACAGAGAACACCACAAAGATACTCCTCGAGAAGAGCAACCCCAAGACACATAATTGTCAGATCCACCAAGATTGCAAAGAAGGAAAAAATGTTAAAGGTAGCTAGAGAGAAAGGTCGGGTTACCCACAAAGGGAAGCCCATTAGACTAACAGCAGAGCTCTCAGAAGAAACTCTACAAGCCAGAAGAGAGTGGGGGCCAATATTCAACATTCTTAAAGAAAAGAATTTTCAACCCGAAATTTCATATCCAGCTAAAGTAAGCTTCATAAGTGAAGGAGAAATAAAATCCTTTACAAACAAACAAATGCTGAGAGGTTTTGTCACCACCAGTCCTGCCTTACAAGAGCTCCTGAAGGACACACTAAACATGGAAATGAAAAACAGGTACCAGCCACTGCAAAAACATGCCAAATTACAAAGACCCTCGATGCTAGGAAGAAACTGCATCAACTAACAAGCAAAATAACCAGCTAACATCATAATGACAGGATCAAATTCACACATAACAATATTAACCTTAAATGCTCCAATTAAAAGACACAGACTGGCAAATTGATAAAGAGTCAAGACCCATCAGTGTGATGTATTCAGGAGACACATCTCATATGCAGAGATACACATAGGCTCAAAATAAAGGGATGCAGAAAGATCTACCAAGCAAATGGAAAACAAAAAGAAAGCAGGGATTGCAATCCTAGTCTCTGACACAACAGACTTTAAACCAACAAAGATCAAAAGAGACAAAGAAGGCCATTACATAATGGTAAAGGGATCAATTCAACAAGAAGACCTAACTATCCTAAATATATATGCACCCAATACAGGAGCACCCAGATTCATAAGGCAAGTCAATAGAGACCTACAAAGAGACTTAGACTCCCACAAAATAATGATGGGAGACTTTAACAACCCGGTGTCAATATTAGACAGATCAACGAGACAGAAGGTTAAAAAGGATATCCAGGACTTGAACTCGGCTCTGCACCAAGCAGACCCAATAGACATCTACAGAACTCTCCACCCCAAATCAGCAGAATATACATTCTTCTCAGTACCACATCACACTTATTCCAAAATTGACCATATAGTTGGAAGTAAAGCACTCCTCAGCAAATATACAAGAACAGAAATCACAACAAACTGTCTCTCAGATCACAGTGCAATCAAATTAGAACTCAGGATTAAGAAACTCACTCAAAATCACACAACTACGTGGAAACTGAACAACCTGCCCCTGAGTGACTACTGGGTACATAACAAAATGTAGGCAGAAATAAAGATGTTGTTTGAAACCAATGAGAACAAAGACACAACATATCAGAATCTCTGGGCCACATTTAAGCAATGTGTAGAGGGAAATTTATAGCACTAAATGCCCATAAGAGAAAGCAGGAAAGACCTAAAATTGACACCCTAACATCACAATTTAATGAACTAGAGAAGCAAGAGCAAACAAATTCAAAAGGTAGCAGAAGGTAAGAAATAACTAAGAACAGAGTAGAACTGAAGGAGATAGAGATACAAAAAACCCTTCAAAAATCAATGAATCCAGGAGCTAGTTTTTTGAAAAGATCAACAAAATAGATGGCTAGCAAGACTAATAAAGAAGAAAAGAGAGAAGAATCAAATAGACACAATAAAAAATGATAAAGGGGATATCACCACCAATCCCACAGAAATACAAACTACTATCACACAACACTATAAACACCTCTACACAAATAAACTAGAAAATCTAGAAGAAATGGATAAATTCCTGGACACACACACCCTCCCTAGACTAAACCAGGAAGAAGTTAAATCCCTGAATAGACCAATAACAGGCTCTGAAATTGAGGCAATAATTAATAGCCTACCAACCAAAAAAAAGTCCAGGACCAGATGGATTCACAGCCGAATTCTACCAGAGGTACAAAGAAGAGCTGGAACCATTCCCTCTGAAACTCTTCCAATCATAGAAAAAGAGAGAATCCTCCCTTACTCATTTTATGAAGCCAGTATCATCCTGATACCAAAGTCTGGCAGAGAGACAACAAAAAAGAGAATTTTAGACCAATATCCCTGATGAACATCAATGCAAAAATCCTCAATAAAATACTGGCAAACTGAATCCAGCAGCATATCAAAAAGCTTATCCACCATGATCAAGTTGGCTTCATCCCTGAGATGCAAGGCTGTTTCAATAAACATAATGCATAAACATAATGCATCACATAAACAGAACCAAAGACAAAAACCACATGATTATATCAATAGATGCAGAAAAGGCCTTTGACAAAATTCAACAGCACTTCATGCTAAAATCTCTCAATAAATAAACTAAGTACTGATGGGACGTATCTCAAAATAGTGAGAGCTATTTATGACAAACTCATAGCCAATATCATATTGAATAGGCAAAAACTTGAAGCTTTCCCTTTGAAAACTGGCACAAGACAGGGATGCCCTCTCTCACCACTCCTATTCAACATAGTGTTAGAAGTTCTGGCCAGGGTAATCAGACGGGAGAAAGAAACTAAGGGTATTCAATTAGAAAAAGAGGAAGTCAGATTGTCCCTGTTTGCAGATGACATGATTGTGTATTTAGAAAACTCTATCATCTCAGCCCCAAATCTCCTTAAGCTGATATAAGCAACTTCAGCAAAGTCTCAGGACATACAATTAATGTGCAAAAATCACAAGAATTCCTATACACCGATAACAGACAAACAGAGAGCCAAATCATGAGTGAACTCCCATTCACAATTGCTTCAAAGAGAATAAAATGCCTAGGAATCCAACTTACAAGGGATGTGAAGGACCTCTTCAAGGAGAACTACAAACCACTGCTCAACAGAAAAAAGGGGACACAAACAAATGGAACAACATTCCATGCTCATGGATAGGAAGAATCAATATCATGAAAATGACCATACTGCCCAAGGAAAATTTTAGATTCTATGCCATCCCCATCAAGCTACCAATGACTTTCTTCACAGAATTGGAAAAAAGTACTTTAAAGTTCATATGGAACCAAAAAAGAGCCCTCATTGCCAAGACAATCCTAAGCCAAAAGAACAAAGCTGGAGGCATCACGCTACCTGACTTCAAACTATACTACAAGGCTACAGTAACCAAAACAGCATGGTCTTGGTACCAAAACAGAGATATAGACCAAGGGAAAGGAACAGAGCTCTCAGAAATAACACCACAAATCTACAACCATCTGATTTTTGATGAACCAGACAAAAACAAGAAATGGGGAAGGATTCCCTGTTTAATAAATTGTTCTGGGAAAACTGGCTAGCTATATGTAGAAAGCTGAAACTGCATCCCTTCCTTACACCTTATACAAAAATTATTTTCAGATGGATTAAAGACTTAAATGTTAGACCTAAAACTATAAAAACCCCAGAAGAAAACCTAGGCAATACCATTCAGGACAGAGGCATGGGCAAAGACTTCATGACTAAAACACCAAAAGCAATGGCAACAAAAGCCAAAATGGACAAATGTGATCTAATTAAAGAGCTTCTGCACAGCAAAAGAAGCTTCCATCAGAGTGAACAGGAAACATACAGAATGGGAGAAAATTTTTGCAATCTACCCATCTGACAAAGGGCTACTATCTGGAATCTACAAATAACTTTAATAAGTTTACAAGAAAAAATCAAACAACCCCATCAAAAAGTGGACAAAAGATGTGAACAGAGAGTTCTCAAAAGAAGACATTTATGCAGCCAACAGACACATGAAAAATGCTCGTCATCACTGGCCATCAGAGAAATGCAAATCAAAATCACAGTGAGATACCTTCTCACACCAGTTAGAATGGTAATCATTAAAAAGTCAGGAAACAACAGGTGCTGGAGAGGATATGGAGAAACAGGAACACTTTTACACTGTTGGTGGGAGTGTCAATTAGTTCAACCATTGTGGAAAACAGTGTGGTGATTTATCAAGGATCTAGGACTAGAAATACCATTTGACCCAGCAATCCCATTACTGGTTATATATCCAAAGGATTATAAATCATACTACTATAAAGACACATGCACATGTATGTTTATTGGGGCACTATTCACAATAGCAAAGACTTGGAACCAACCCAAATGTCCATCAATGATAGACTGAATTAAGAAAATGTGGCACATATACATCATAGAATACTATGCAACCATATAAAAAGGATGAGTTCATGTCCTTTGTAGGGACATGGATGAAGCTGGAAAC